CAAATATGGCAGGGACCTCTGTTAAAATCACACTGGATTGGATCATCAATTCCGTGGGTAATCAACTCATTAGATGTAACCTTCTAATGAATACTCCTTTCTCAAAAGAAAACCTAAGCTTATAAAGTTTGAATATGTAAAATATATTATTTCTGGACAAAAACACACTACCACCCTAGCTGGAAACCACTTTTGAGCTCTGAATCTGAACACCGAAAATGGGATTCCGTTTCAGGTTGCCCAAACACTAACTCAGCATTAATTTCTTTCGGATGGGATCGAACTCGCTTCTCGCTTCCATAATCGGCTTTGGCAGGGGAGGAAAATCGAATTATAATATGAACGAGTGAGTTCATCTTGCTTCTTTCGGTGTGAGGCCAAATGAGGCATGTCGCGTTGGAAAAGGGGAAAACGCCTGGGTGCCTGTTTTCCCCGACTAATCCCGAAATGACAAAACGCTGGCAGCTGATGCAGCTCGAATGGAGAACGGGCACGTAGTGCGAGCGAGAGGGAGGCACGGCAAGAGCGCGAGGGAGGGAGACAGGGCCTCCAGCCTGTTGGAGTTGGCTCGCAGCAGGTACTCCGCCACCAGAGTTTTAGCCAGGTCAGGTCAGCCGAACGAACGAACACCTAACAAATTCCGAGCCTTATCTGCCTGCTCTCGCTGCTCATTTGCGGTTGTCTACGCGTTGCGGCATCATTATCGCCTCTATCCCGTCCCGACGCGTCGGTCCTTTTCCCCCTCGAGTGTGTGGGCTTAAGGGTCTTTTGTGCGTCCCTTCCTTTGTGTGTGTATTCTTTTCGCAAAAAGTAAAGAACACGGCTGAGGCTGAGCAGGGAAGGCGTTGTTGGCCTCCTGCTGTTTACGTGTAATTTTCCCAGCACTCGCTGGCATCCATGGTCCCAGCTCTGCTCTTCTGGCCCGGCTTCGTCTGCCCTCGACATTTTGAATTTCCCGTCGCTGTCAATTTTTCTGCTCTCTACCTTTTTTCACTCCTTTTCAGTTTCAGTTTTGCTTTTTTCCCGCAACAAATCGCTTTGATTTACATAATTCTGCGCACATTTCGACGCATAGTTTGCCCGTTGTTGCCGTTTGGGTGTTTGCATATTTTTGACAGCTGTCAGGAAGTAATAAGTTGGAATTTCGCTCGGTGCCGGCGCCTAGTCTGCATCTCCTGAAATTGACAGTTGTGAAAAATCCTGGCCGACACTTTACAAATGTAGCTGGCACGACCTGCGGGCATTCAGAGCCCAAACGGATGATACCAACAAAAACATTCGCTACAGCGAACGAGAATCAAACTCGAAATAGTATGGGCATTTTCGAATTCGATTGTCCCCAAACAGGTTCTCCGAATATGACAGCTGGGCTTTGTGGTGTCGTTAAGGGCCTAACGCCGGCCGAGGTCCTTTCTCAGGTTGATTTTGGGGATTAGCCGATAAGCGGCTTAGCTGCCAGCGAGGATTAGCGAGCGGAAGCCGCTTTCAGCCCGAAAATGGGATCGCAGATACTGATGGGATGCTTAGGTTGAGCAATGTCAACAGGGATCTGAAGTGCCGTGGCCAAATTTCGGCTGAGATCTAGGCAAATAGGAAACTTAGGGGTGTACTTTTCCCAACTGCTGTGCTTTTGTGTTCTGTAATGGTTTAAAGGGGATTTGGCTTCCCTTCATAAATATTTAACTTTCTGAATGAATGAAACTGATTGAACTGCATTTATGTTTGGGTTATTTGCAGTAACAAATACTTAAAACTTTGTTTTAAAGTATTTTAAATACACTTCTTAAAGTTTGTATTTATTATTTTGTTATATTTACTTTTCTTTGGTCGCAGATGGGCCAAGTGTATTCGCATTCGAGGCCAAGACTGCTCCCCATCAATTCCCAATCAAATGCTTGCCAAGGTTCCTGCTGACTCAGCAGACATCCCCCGACGATCCACAAATTGTCTGTGACGCACAGGAAGCCCGGCACTCAGTGAAGAGCCCTCCTCTCCGGCCGTTTATAACATTGCCCCCTGCCAAAACCGAAAATAGCCAGCGCCGCGATCTTCGAGGAAAACAAGTGGGAGTGCGGCGCAAGCACAAAATTATTGAAACATGCCCATGCGAAGCGAGATCCGAAGAACCAAACCGATCGAATCTCTTGGGGAAACGACCGCACCCGTGTAATTACACCACGCCAACCAAAACAACTCTGAATTGTTTTGGTTATGGGGTCAGAAGCAAGTGCTAAGCTGTTCGAAATAATTGTACGAAAGGAGATTTTCATTTTGCAAAATTGTAGCCAAGACAAAAATAAACAAAGTGGCCTCATTAGGGCGGCCATCAACTAATCGGGCGCGGCATAAACAAATAATATTCCATTCCGAACAGTTCCGTTCGGTTTCGCGCTGCTGGAAAACTCAGTGTGAGAAAATCGAAATGGCTGGCACTCTGATTTCCCGGCACCGATCCAAACCCAATCTGAGTCCGAATCTCAATCCGATTCCGATTTCGATTTCGTTTCAGAGGGTGACCTTGCTGAGCTTCCATTTTCGAAATTAGTTGCGTGTTTCTCGCCTTTTTTCGCTTTCAGCTTTTGCATTGTGACGGGGATTGTGATTGGGTTTGGAGGCCATCTGGAGTATGATTTGGGCTGGCTGTGGTTTGCGTTTAATAATGCAGAGTGGCCAAAAGGGGGGGCGGTTTTTTCGACCTAATTTGGCTAATTGGCGGCTGACAAATCAAACATTGAGACATTGAAATGTCGGTCTGTCCTCTTCGAGCAGATTTTCACACATCAACACAACGTCAGAGTGGGGGAGAAAGAATTTTCCGTGGCGTTTTCTTCGCTCTCCGCTCTTTCCTGTTTTGGCTTTTTGGCAATTTTATGACAGGCAACCGGGGGCGGGAGCTGGTGCTGGAAAAGCTGGTGCCTGGTGAAGTGTTGAAAATTTACGAGCTCCGCCTCGCCCCAATCACACCCCTCTTGGCCCACTTTATTCAATTTCATTTCTTGCGCCAAAACAGAGCAAGAAATTCTCTCAAGTCTTCGGGTCTCAGGAATTTATTGTTTGCCAGTTACGAAATTTATTTGTTGCTGTAAATTTACAATTTTTTCGCCCTGCTGCCAGGTAGCGCGCACCCACACGTTCACGTTCCTCTTCTCCCGGTTCGATTTCCATTTGATTTTTATTTCGCTTCAAAGCTCCAATTGTTTGGCAATTGTTTTTATAACACCACAAAAACGCTGAAAGGCAGCAGAAGAAGACCAATTCGAGGCGGGGAATTTCGGATGACTACGATGAGGGTGAAGAAGAGGAAGATAGGGGAGGGGAGCGGGGAGGAGCAGCGAAGCTCAAAGAGGAAATGCCAGAAATAAAGTTATGTAAATTCCGTTTTATGTGTAAGTTCAAATACCAAGAAGCAAAGTCGGAAATAATAAAACTGAAGCATGTCGAAGCATGTATTTGTGGTTAGTGTGCCCATGGCCGGAGATAGGATTCAAGCCAATATTGGATAGGTCTGGGGAATGCGAGGGCTAATAAGTTTGGCTAAAATAAATAGAATGGCAAGGAAAGGAAGATATTTGGGGTTACATCGAAATAATTACACACGTTAACCACCAAAGTCAATCAACTCGGCGTATGTGCATTATCCGTGATTGATAGTTTACAACATTAACGTTTTGTAATATTTAAAAAGCACACAGATTGGTTTTTCTCAAATGTTGCTTTTAAATTAACAGTAAACAGAGTTAGGTAGAGTGAAGGGGAATTTTTGAAAACATTTCTGAAACGAGTTCTATGACACTGTGTGTAGTCAGGCTACTGAAACCGAACTCCTCGAAAAGGGCTCGAGTTTTTCCCAGCCGCAGGCATTCTGCGGGGTTGGGGACTCCGTCTGGGATTCCTCTAATTCCTGACTGACTGACAAAGAGTATCCTTTTCAAATGCGCTTTGTGCGCTCGCTATTGTTGCTCCCGGTTTATTAATCAGACAAATCGTGAAAAAACGCGCTCAGTCGGAAAAAGGGAAATTATGAAATACGAAACAAGAGCGGGCTCAATGTCAGCCGAACCCACTCCCTCCGATGGGATGCCGCCTTAATTTGTTTAATTTATGCAAAATGTTTGGCCGCATTCGACGATAAGCGACGTAATTTGTTCAAACTTGTCGCAACTTGCTGGTTTTCCCTTTTCAAAGATTCTTTGAAGTAAGTAGAGGGAATAATTACTGTGACTAACGATAATATGGACATTTCTTTAAATTTCCTGAACTTTACTTAACTTTAATTTGAGTATTTATAGCTATTCTTATAACTCAATTCACTCTTTTTCACAATTTAATTTATTTATTTGGCATAAAACTGGATGTGCATGTTTTCTACCAATTCCTGAATTAAAAGCCTTCGATAAATACCTCATTTCTTAAAGGATTTATATTGACTTCCCGTCTTTCTTTACATTTCTTTTTTTTTAACTGCTTTTGAAAAACGAAATACATTCGAATTTGTTGTACTGCAATCCAATTTGAAGATATTAACAACAAAGTGCAAATCAATATAAAAAAAACTGAAATTTCTAACTCGTATGAATCCCTTTAAGCTTGATAACATTTGAAAATAAAATAATAATACCTTTCTAGACATTATCTTATTTTGAGCAATAAAGCTTAAATTTGTTGTATATTTTGCTGTTAAGTTCATGAAATAAGTGATATATATATAGATGTATTTATCCGCTTGATGTCACAGATTTTAAAGGCCTTACAGCTCCTGCTAACTCTGTATGTATCTTGCTGCATATTGAAATATCCGAAACGGATAATCTGCCACACTTTTGATTTGAACATGCTAAGCACATCACTTTAAAAACAGGTTTGTACGTAGTATTTCCCAAACACCGAACTCCGACTCCTCTGTTTCCCTGAGCTTGCTGAGGCAGGTAACCTCCTCCCGTTGGACAAAAGGGGACTCCGCCTCCCGATTCCGGAGCTCGAGAGTCTTTGGGCCAACTCACCTTGTCTGCCGTGTGTCCTCTGCGCCGTGTTGTTGGCCGTGTCCGGCGGACGGTGGGCCAGGTGCTGGTACTCGTAGTCGTAGTGCGACGACTGCGCTGCGGCGGCGGCAGCGGCGGCCTGCAGGCTCTGCTGGTTCTGCTGGTGCTGCAGCGTCTGGCTGCCGTGGGCGCCCAGCTCCGCCGCCGCTGGCCGCCCGTGGCCGCTCATGGGGAGCGTGCGTCCCTGGGCGTGCGGGTGGGAGGGGGCGTGGCCGTGGGCCAGGGCGGGCCCGCCGCCCGCGTCGCGGCAGTCGAGCGTGGACTCATACTCGTAGGGATTCATGGCGGTCGCCTCCAGCGGACATTCGTCGTCGTCCGTGTCCGTGCCGCCGTCGTAGATGTTGTCCGTGTGGCGGTACGCGTGGTGGGCGTGCTGCTTTGAGAACTTAATCTTGGCGGCTTTGGGGGCTTGTGGCCAACAGCCGGACAGCCGGACAGAGAAGAAGAGGAGGAGGACTCCGCGGGGGAGTGGGAAAGAGAAGAGAAGAGGCTGGCTGGCTGGCTGGCTTGCTACTGCCGTTTATTCATGCACTCGACACTGGCGCACTGCACTCGAAAACATTTCTCTGGGCCACTTTTCCGGGCGGTTAATCTGCGGTCCCAGCCAAATCACAACTTCTATTCTCAGTCGGCCGAGGCCGGGATATTATTTCTTGGGCCTCCACTAGGCGAACACTCGAAAACACGGGACACACACGATGGGGAGTACAGAACGCGACGAGAAAGACGGAATGGTTTGTTTTCTTTTCTTTTCTTCTTTTTTTTATTTTGTTGTGCGCGACACGATCGTTGTTACTGTTTCAGTTAAATCCAACTACCATCCTTTAGTGGTGGTATGCTTCCCGGCGATTTTATTTATTTTTATTTTTCGCAAGCAGCAGCGCGCTGTTCCTGGCTACTTTTCGTATATCCACATTTTCCGATTTCAGCGACGGCAACGGATTTCGAACCGAGAACCGTTCGAGACGAATTTTGAAAGACGAATGAGCACAAAACGGAACGTGAAACTGAACGCACCGCGTTTGTGAGGGAGCGCACTCCTGAGCGCAGAGAGCGCGAGAGCGTTTTGAGCTGCTCTCAACTCAACGAAGCCGAGGTAGCGATGTTAACCGACTGCCGTAATCCATGCATAAATGTTAACTCTCGCTGTAATCCCCTGCAACTATTTTTCTATTTCGACTAGTTTAAAGAGGATTACTACTTTAATATAACTTCTTATACCTATTGGAAATCTTTTCATGTGCAACTATTTGAGTTTTAATTTTAAATTTTATTTGTTGCTTATGAATGATTTAATAACAGAACAAAATACTGTTCAGAACAAATTACTTTATCTGAAGTTGTTGTTTGCTGAAAGTATATCTCTCCGTTTAAAAACAACAAATTAATATTAAAAGTGCATTCCGAATATTGATAACAAAAATATGCCGCGTCAATGCACACTCATGTTTTTTATTTCCTCTTTTCCCAATTTAAAAGTGGCTAAGAGTCACTTCCTTTGTGATAAATACCCGTTTTGTTCACCTAAAATATGCATAAATGTTAAATTTCAAACAGTCGTCGATGCTCTGCTTGCGCTTCTCTGTGGACTCGTCTTTCGTTCAGTACAGAGAGCATGAGCGAGAGCGGAGAAGAGTGAGCAGAGCGCAAGTGTAGTGGGAGTTTGGCCGAGAGAGCGCTCGTTGCTCTTTTTCTGCGCATGTCGCGTCGCGCTGTCGGCAGCGCTGCCAGCAGCAGCATCGCTGAAGCAGGATAGATGGAGAGAGAAAGAGCTAATCTCTGTATTGAAGGTTAAAAAGTGCGTTTTGGCCAAATGCTGCTGTTTGGCTAAGGGGAAATGGAAATGCAGGGGAAAGGACAGCGGCTGTTACTGTTCTCTGCCACCGTGTTACGTGCTGCACGCCAGTTTCGTTCATTTTTATCTGCGGCCAACAGCGTTGTAATAACAGAGCCGCCGGAGGCTTACATCGACACTGTTAACGGGGAGTTTTCAATGAAAGCTGTTAAACGTCAAGCAGAGAATCGCCTGTGTTAACAGTAATTTGGATCGAGTTTGGATATCTATGACATATCGTTAATAATTATAAGCGAATTTTGGTGCTCTGCGTTGCTTAAACAAAAATTTAGACCATTTTAGCTTTTTAATTTTGTGTTTTATTTATTACTAGAGGTCCTGTGTCCGCTTCGCTGGTCAACACAATTTAACAACATAAAAGTCAATGTTGCAACATTTTTCAAATATATGGAAGTATAGAAAGATGGTGATTTAACACTTTTCCAGTTTGACTTTTCCACTTGCGCAGCACAATCCAGCCGTTTCTCTTTCAAACTTTAACGCACTGCAATATCGGTATATAGTCGCCATTGGTCCAATATCTAAATTTTCATTATCACTGCAGTTCGCAGTGGGGTCATATTGGAATGCCAAGCGATTGAATGATGCCAATGATCTCCATGTGCTCATTTGTCTTTCTTCGCTTAAGTTTTGTGAATATACTTGTTGCTGGCTTGGATGTCTGCGGCCAATGTTTGCACGTCGTCCTCTAAGAATTTTGGACTATGGACAGAGTGGTGAATTTATCCTCAAATGCACGATCCACATAATTTTCACAGTTCAACTTAAATTGAATAAAAATTCTTTTTTTTTCACAATTTCACAGTGAACACAAAAATTGAGATAAAATGCTATGGGAGCGTGTTTGTCAGTGTGATGAGGTAGCAACTCACTTTATATGCGACAATATTGCAATTTTCTTACGGATCCCTAATTTTTTTCAAAATAAATTATAGCCTATTTAACTCCACGATAATATAGCTTTCTATCGGCGAAAGAATTTTTTAAATCGGACCAGTAGTTCCGGAGCCTATTCCCTGCAAACAAACAAACAAACAAACAAACAAACAAACAAATTTTACCTCTTTATAATATTAGTATAGATTGTTATTACATATATTGAAACGAAAAACATATGTATTTAGCGACCCTACAAATATTCAGGTATCCGTATCTGTGTATCTTTGTCTGTGTTTTAATAGCGCAAGGCAAATAATACCTAAAACTGGTTCAATCACTCGATTTTGAACGGAATTAGGTAATTTAATCTTTCTTAGTAGAACAGATTTTTAATTTTCTTTCAAAACACAATTATTATTATTGGAAATGTTTACGGGAATCGAAAGCAAAACTTTTGTATCACTTTTTTTGTATTAGTTTACCGGTTAAAAATAAAATAGCATAATTACTATAATTGGAATACATTTTAATTCACGTTTAAATTTTAAACAGAAGCTTGTAACCCAGTGATAGAAACAGTTATTACCACGCCATTAAATATTTAAATATAAAACCATTAAAATATAAGTTCTTGACTTTCCAACTTTACTGGTAATTTATGAACACATATTCATTTTTACCAATCAGCAAAAAAAAATAAACACAAGTGAAAAAGAGTGCAAAAACGAGTGTTTATCTAAATTGAAACCTCTGAAAAGAAAAAACCTGGGCAGTGAAAATAAACAAATGTAACCAATCAATCAAATGCGTAACAAGATATACACGCTTTAATTTATTCTAAAGCCCATACATGGTTTTTCATTTAAGTCCTTTAAAATCCTAAACTCCCATTGAAGTGGATTCACACAAAACAGTTTTTCATTTACTAATTATGTTGTCAGATTCTGTGGAACATTTCCCACAGCCAAAAAATATCCTTCGACTTCATTAGCGCCGGAAAAAGTTTGCCATCGCTGGCGAGGGGCGACGCAAAAGTTTCAAAACGCTGACAAGTGAAGTTGTCATTCAGCACCCAAACCAGAACCGAGCGGACCTGGCCAAAAAGTGTCCGAAACAAACAATGGGCTGGCGAGTGGCAAGGGGCAAGGGGAGAGGGGAGAGGGGCGGTTGGAGGGGCCCATGGCCGAGAAAAGAAGCAGAAAATTGCGTTATAAGCAAAGTAAAGGACATTTCGCTAATGGCTTAACTTTTGAGCGCAGGTCGCATCCTGCCCTTCCCGCCACTCCACGTTCTACCAATTCTCTGCCATGTAGCGGAAGTTGTTGCTGAAGCTTTTTTGACAGCTTTCCCCGAACACCGACCGACTATTCGAAAGGGAAAGAAGACGCAGAAGAAATTGTCATTTCTTTCACGACTCTCGCAATGTGGCAACGCCGCGTGACGCAGATTTTTTGCACTCTGGAACGTATTTGCATAGGACATGGCGTCCTGCGTCTTGCGTCTTGCTCTTTCGATATTCCCCGCTGTCGATGAAAAATCAATTTCCTGTTTTATGCAAAAATGTTTGAGCATCGCTCGAGTGAGGAAGAGAAGGAATCTCCCGCCTGCATTTGACACATTGAATATTATCAGGAGGCTGCGGACCCCAAGGAACTGCGACTTCTGACTGGGCTAGTTGCAGTCCGTTGAGATCTGCCTGCTCAGGAACAAATAGATTTGGCTGTACTGCAGTTACTTAGCCAAGTTTAAAATATTAAAATGCCAATGTGAAATTTTGTTAAGCACTAGGTTTTAAAAATACTTAACGTTTTTGGTTTATACTTATTTGTTATAAGCAAAAATTAGAAGCAAATTGTTGTTAAGTTTTCAAATTCGATCCTTTGTTCCTACTGATTTTTTTTAATGATCTACGACATAAATATCACTTTTTGTCAAATAAACGAGCTACAGAAACTAAACTTCAAAAGGTAATAGTTTTTTTTCGCTTGTTAGTGCTGCATTGAGGGACTTCCCAGGCCGGATAAGGTCTCAAATTTCTATTCCGGCCACTGGGACTTCCTCTGTTTGTTGCACTTTAGCTTCAATTTTAGCAATTACTTTCGCAGTCCCCACATTGCCCCTTCGCTCCTTCTCCCTTTCTCCATCGTCCATCGTCCTTGTTTGGCTCCCAGTCTTCGGGTCATTTGGAGTATCCTGTTTAAGGACAAGCAGCTGCACATTGTCTTGCACTTGGAGCTTCAATCAAGAAATTTGATCGCCACTTAAAAGCAGCAGCACCATCTAAAAAAACCAGTAAAATTACTGACCATCGGTGGCGGCAACAACAAGTGGCAAGCTGCTGTCGATGTCGATGTCGATGTTGCGCTGCTTGACCTGAAAATCATCAACTTTGAACTCTCGAACGGCATTTCCTGCCTCAATTTACACAGCGTTGGATGACCCTCCCCCTCTTCGCCGGAATGCTGGCCCACATATCGCATGGGCATACGTGAATATGGCGCATATATGTATGTATCGGATGAATGCCGCATCGATCGAGCTTCACGCAAAAATGCTCAACTTAACTTTGTGCTGGCATAAAAATCGAACAGGACACGCGGACAAAGGACAACGGGCAACGGACAACGGGCAGCGGACACCGACAATGACTGGCAGCACTTTGTGTCCTGCCCCAAAGGCTGCCACGCCCACGCCCCTTACCACCCCATCCACACCCCACCCGCAGCCACCGCCTGTAAGTGGTGGGGTGGGCGGTAAATAAAATTACTCGAGATATTGAATTACGCGTTTTAAATTAAAAATATTTTTTCGCGATTGCATTAAACGAAAGGCGAACTAATTAAAGGCGATTTTTCGTCCTTTCTCCGCACTGCCTCCCTTTTTCTTTCTGTCTCTCCATTCCTCTTTTGCATTGGCAATGCAATTTGCAGTCTGAAATTAAAGTTGGTAAGTAAGGATGGAGAAGAAAAGCCAGTTAAGAATTTCATCGCGGAATCTTTCCGGAGTGAAAGCATCTGCAAAAGTAAATCATATCTGTGGAGTGTAATCTAAATTCTTTTAATTTTCTAAGAAACTAACTTTGTTGAATGTTACGGAAAGTAAAATGAATATAAAATGCCTTTAATGGGGGTTAAAAAACCTGACTATAGCATTTACTCAATTAATTTTTTAGCCGCTTAGCAATTATTTATATTATGGTTGTTCTGATTAAAAAAATTTAATTCACATATCAGGAGTCGTTCAAAAAGGGTGTTAAAAATCATCGATATTGTTATTTTTTTTGTGGAGAATCATATCTCTAGAAACAAATACCTGTACTGATCCGGACTAAAAGTCGGCCTAGTTGTCCTTGCATATTACTAGTGACCTAAAACAATACTTAAAAGGTTTTTACATAAAACTTAAATACTTTTGTAGAAGCGAAGAGACACATGAGTAATAAAAGTAAATCTATTTCGACCAAATATCACCAGCAAGCGTGTTTAACAGAACCATCTTGCCCCAGGTCACAGCCGCATCTTTGGGGTGTGGAATCCCCGGGAGGAAACACGTGTCGCCCTGCGCAGCAAACGCAGTCCGATTGAAAGAGTTACGATCCGAGATGGAAGTACTTTGGCACTTTGCACTCTCCCGCTTTCCCGACCCATCTGGCTGGCTGCCCCGATTCCCCCACCTTCGGCAGCTCCTTGTGGCAGACAATGCGGGCGGTCGTGGCAGGAGTCACAGAGTCATCCACAAGCCAAAACAAACAATGCATCAATCAATAAAGATTTCCGCACCTAATAAGCCGCAGACGAGCGAGCGGGGGAGTCGTCATGTGGCAGGGTCTGGAGGGGATGGCGGACCATCATCGACGCCGTTCACCAATTAAAGGCCAATAGTTGCCCCTCCTCCTCCTCCGCCTCCTCCGAAAGGTGTTAATCGAATTACGACCCGGATCGCCTGCGACTCGAACTTCGGGCTCGACTTGCATAGCTGCACTTCCAATGGTGCATCCATTCGGGATTGCGGCGAGGAGGCAGGGGAGCTGGAAGGCAGGGAGGCAGGAGGCAGCATCAGCTGCCTCTTCTCATGCCCAATGTCGGTGCCGCATTTCCATATTTTCAAATTTGAATTTACTATTCCGACGGAGTTGTCGCCGTCGTCGTTGCCTGTTGGTTGGTTGCCTGGTTGGTTGGTTGGATGGGGCAGGACACTCTGAAGAGCAGACATCGTTTATCAGGCAACACTTTGGACCCGACCCTCCCCTCCTCTTCTGCTCGAATCGTAAAGAAAATTACACACATGTGTGGCTTTTCCTGGGGAGCCAAGGAGTCGGAAGCGGGAAAAGGGGGAAACACAGTCTCTTCGTTTGGCTGCCTGCGTAAAATTTGGAAACACGTTAATGTCTGGCTGCATCTGAGCAATTTTGTGGCGCGTTCTGTTTTGCCAAAAGATCTCGTCGTGGATGCGTCAGGACATGCTGAAGGGGGTCAGGGAAGGTGGGGAAATTCCTGGGATATGAGCAATTAAGTTCTGCCAAGTCTAACCATTTTCTAAACGAACTCGAATTAGATCTTGAAACCTTCTTAAATTTGCGAGCAAAGGGTTTATTCTTGAGTGGAAAGCTTTCCAAAAGCCTTTAATATGCGATCTGGAAAAACACGTTGAAACATCAATTATTTTATAGTTTTTATTAAGAATCACTTGATTTCTTACGATATAATCTATCCTTTGAATTTGTGTCAAATCCCTCAAAATTTGGAACATAACATTAATTGTAATACAAGTTCAAAATCTAAGAAGTCTTTTACAATATACAAGTCCTTAATAAATAATTTTATCTTTTTTTTTTGAATTTTTATATTAAGATTATGTGATTCTATAGTTTTCATTAGTGTTTGCACATTTTAAAACTTGGTAGATGCTCTGAAGAGTGAATTTTGAAACTTGGGCAAGTTATTTTAAATATTTCCTCCTCCGCCTAAGTCCATAAATAAATATTTTTGATGGCTTCCTTAAAACCTCGCTGCGTGTTTCAATCCGTTTACCACTCTGTTCCAGCTGACAGCTGCTCCTGAGATCGGATCCTTCAGGACCTTCCACGCGGCGGCTGTCAACACTGCAATTACGAAACAATTTCGACAGCATGCTGCTCCAATTGGACGCCCGAAAACGGAACAGAGCCCGGCTCCAGGCTGTCAACAAAAGATGGCATGCGAAAAGTGAAATATTTTGGGCATAGAATTATGCAGATGCAGATGGAGACGGAGAGCGCAGTTCAATGCCAGGAAAAAGAGGCCCCACCCTTGGCTTTTCCACACCTTTCGGGAACTCACGCTTCATTTGCATGTAACCATGACACGACGGTGGTGGTGGTGTTAGTGTTGGTGTTGGTGGAGGAGGAGCAGAAGGAGGAGAAGACACATGGAGTGGAGACCACACAGACCACCGAAAGCGAAGAGTCCTTGTGCTCCTCCCGCTCCCCCTCCCTCGATTTGCTCCTGCGGGTGAGTGACAACCGCAGGGTAAGACCGCATATATCAGAAATAATAATAACCAGCAATGCAGGGCGTCGGGCGCCAAACCCAAACTCAATTGAGTGCCTCCTCCTGCTCCTCCGGCTCCGCCAGCTTCTCCATCAGCTCCTGCTGCTCCTTGGGCGAGGATGCGGTTGGCAGTGTGTTCGGCGGTGTCTACACAATCGAATCATGGCAAATATTTCCAAATGCGAGATGTGTGGAAAGTGCTAACGACGCAGCTGCATATTTTGTCAACTCTGAATGGGCCAAAGGACGCAGGACTCGCACTCGCACTCGCACTCAGAGTCGGAGGTGGTGTCCTAACGAATGTGTCTGCAGCGATGGCTGTCATGGCCACAAAGGTGATAAGCAATTGGCGCGGCTTTCCTGAAAGGGTTCCCTGCATCCTGGCAGCACTTGGCTCCCGATAATTGCCGGCAAAGGCGGGTGGAGCGCAATCAGCAGACAAACCAGGACTAATCAAGGAGCAGCAGTCGAAGGACCTTGAATGCGACTGTCTCCCAGCTGAATTTCCATTTGCATCTGGCTTTGTTTTGGCACCTGGCCTTTCCTTGTTTGCTAATTATAATTTAATTTGTTTATTCCGCGCCGGGGAAAACTCAATTTTCACTTTCCCTTTGTGCCCGAGTGGGCGGGGCATTCGGCAAAGTCATTCGACTTTTCTATTTGCATAAGTCGTGCAAAAGTTGACTTCTCGCTGAGGAAAAAATGCGAGCAAATATTTATGCAAATCCGGCAGGGAACTTGAGTAGTTCATCCGGATGCCACTCCGGTGGCGCCACATGCATCAAAAGTATATCAGGCACTCCGACGCTCTCCTTATCCGAAGACAAATGACCGGCCGCGATCATCAACAAGTTCATCAGCGGAAGCCGTAAGCGTTTGTTGATTACCCGCAGCCTTGCCACACTTTTTCGTGCCACCTGAAGAAATGGAGTAGGAGGAGAGGAGATGAGAGGGGGGAGGGGGGAGCACTGCAAGTTATTTGCATTCACTGGGGGATCTGTTACACTCCAAGGGCAGCGCGCTTTCCTTCCCGCTTCTTTCTATTTTCCCGTTTATCGTCCGTTGGCTTGTGGCGAAAGATGAAAGTGTTTGGCAGCCGTCGCCGCGGGCGAATGGGGCAGGCCACCCAGGCCACCCCCCATTCAGCGAACCCCGGATAACTCGCATTAAGTCCACACCTGCCCGGCATCATCATCTTCTCCTGGCTGCTGCCCGTAGAGAAAAGGAAAAGGGATAAAAAGGAGCTGCTCACAAAATGGAATAGAATTGCAGATTCATTTCACTCAGCGGGGGAAATAGTTTGCAGGCTGGCGGGGGGTGGCATAACCTTTTAGCTGGTTTACATTTGCCTTAGCCAAAGAAAAAGGTCAAAGGCCAAATCAGTTGCCCGGTTCCCGATTCCCAAGGCGACCGCAGATTGGAAAGAGCCTTTCGGAAATCATCTAAGCAGTGGCTTATTAACCCCACAGATCCCCAAATGGGAAATGGGAAATGGGAAACGAGAACTTAACCGGCAACTGCCCGCATCTTTCGCCCTGCAATCCGCTTAAATCAATTAAAATTTGATTTCGACGCAAACCCACTTTAAACGCGAATGCGAAAACCCTAATGGGTGATGGGTTGTCAGAGCGCAAACAACCAACAACAAGATGTGGCCTAATTAACTATTTATTACAATTTCTGCAAAGCTCGCTGCATTAAAAATTGCACTATTTGTTCAAGCTCTCGACTCGTTTTCAATTCCCTTTCAATCGGAAGCGAGGCAGAGCGTTTTGCTCTCTCTGTTCAAATTAAATATTTTTTGGCCACTATAAAAGAAATGAACATTAGAAAAGGTTATGGAATTATATTTTATATACCGAAACTAAGCCCGTAAAAATGAAATTCATAATTTGGATAAATATCGCAATCAGTGCTCTAAAATTGTTGCTCAAAATTGGTTTGGAGGTAATTTAAAAGAATTCAGAATTAACGAAAACAAAAAGGCCAGTAGTATTTTTACCAATGTTTTTTTTTAATTCAATACCAATACAATTATTTTCTTGAAGAGCATTGGTTAGTTCGTTGTTATACGGCTTTAGTTCAAAGCCTGTTTTCGCTTTTCTTTTCGAGAAAAATTCGATTTGTCTTCTCCCGAGATTTTTCTCAACTCAACCGTTCTCTTTTCTCCCAAGATTCTCTGCCGCCCCCGGCAAGCTACTTTATCAGCTTTTCCCCACATTCCCCCTTTTCGCTCTTTTCCTTCTTTTCGCTTTTGGCTGGCTGTGTCTTCTGTATCTTTGTCTTGACGCCTTGCCAGCGGCGAAGTTTGTCGCGTCCTCGAATCCCGCATTTCCCCACTTCCTCGTCCTTCGTCCGGCGGTTGTCCTGGTGGCTCCTTGCTCACAATAAACCACTTTACAGCTACTAGTTTTATTTGCTGCCGCTCCTTTCCTATTTTTCGCAAAAGGAATTGAATTAAAATTTACATTTTTAATCATTTTTCCACAGCGTGACTTTAATTCATCCATCTGCTTCCCTTCCCCTTCCCCTCCGCGTTTGAAATGCAGTGCAATTCATTTGTCATACAGTCCGTCTCTGTCTCCGTCTCATTCGCTTTTAATTAGTGTGAAAAGCGCAAATTATTCTCTGCCCCACTGCCCCACCGCCCCCAACAGCCCCGCCCATCGGCGTAATTGGCTTACAACGACTGATAATTATAATATGCAGGCATTATATTTTTATAATTATTATCGCCCTGCTTATGCTCAACCTGTTGGCAGCGTCGATTGACTTTTCTCGCTTTTCCGCGGCTCACCCTCTTAGTTTGGCCTGATGCAATTGTTCTATGAATTTTCACGGATTTGGAACCTATTTATTTTGAGGCGCCACTTGTCCACTCAGTCATCTTAACGCTGTGCAGCTCGACGTGTCTCTCTGGCCGAAAGCCTTGGTTTCTCTGGACAAGATAGTGCGGGACTTGAGATTCAGGTGAGTTTGAGACTTCCAAGAATTCAATCCACATGGAGAAATCAATGCAAAAGTGCGCTCATGAGAATTTGCAGAATTCTGCATAATTCATTTTGCACATTCGTGGCCAAGACGAACACACTTGGTTAAATGCGTAAGTGAGATTTCAATTATACTCGTTTTGTTAATTGATTGCGTCAGTCCTCCGAACCCCTCGACTCGCTTTTGGCATCCATCAGATTGCGACTAAAACTTGGCAATCTGGAGCGGAAAAGCTTTGCCAATTCTCTGGAGAATGCTGCCATTGTTTGTTGCTAATGTTGCCGCTCCCTCACACACACACACACTAACACACACCCCCACACACACACTAGCATAGAAGGGCCGACCGAAGTTAGTTAATAAATTTAACGTTGATGAGCCAGGGAAGAGTGCAAATTGGCCATCAATCGGAGGAGCGGAGGCAAAGGGCCTGGCCGTAAGTAGGCCTCCGCTGAGGAGCTGCGGAAATGCCGACTTGACAAACTGACAAACTGGCAAACTGGCAAACTGACTGATGGAAGCCAGAGTCTGGCCCCGTTTACATAGTTGTTGTTGTTGATGTTGTTGCTATTCGGGGCGGCTTCCCTCGTGAGCGCAAATTAAATGCAAATTCAATTAATTTGAAGCAAACAATTTGCTTAAATTAATTAATTGAATGTGAATCTAAAGTGCTTCCAATTTAACGCTGAAGAGCTCGGTTCCACCAGTGGGCCGCTGAAGGGGGTTTTGGGGGGCTTAGGGCTCCCCCCTGCCCGTGTGTGTGTGTGCTCGGCATTTATTGAAATTATTGGACAGAGGGGCGGTGGAGACTGGGGGGCGTGGCACTGGACTAGGGCGCTGCGGTGAGCCGCAAACTTTGGCAACGTTGCGTATGCGTAATTTTGCATTTGCTCTGCGTTTCAGTTCGGTTCGGTTCGACATCGTGCATTAAGCAAACTGTTCACTTCAAAATCAACTCGAAAATAAACAGCAGCAGCCAAAATGCAAATACGGCCCTGTGAATTAGTGTGGGTTTTTTGGGGACTCGAGATGACAGCGTGACTTTGTTTTGGAAAAAAATATATCCACTCGTTTGCTTGTACAGTTGTTAATAATTGGGCTAAAAACGTAATACTTAAGTGTGTATAAATTAGCCAGCCATTTAAACCAAAGGGTCTTATTATATATTCTGCACATGTTCCTGTACTTCCGATTATTCCGACATTGTTTATCCAGAAAAGTACGATTATTTTACACTACTGAATTACATTTCTGAATTACCTTACCGAATTACTTCCGACTCACCGTGGCATCTCCAATCAGAGCGACTGCAATTTTTGGACCGCTCTCTTCAAAATGGCTTTCATCGGTTAACCGGCAACAAGGCAACTACTGTCGATTGCCGATGACTAACAGCCATTACAACCCTGTCCCGCCCCCTAAGCCCCCTTAAACCCCCTTCGAACGCCACCCGATCGCCGCCCCATTGGCAGTTTGAATGTTGTTTGCGTTTTATATTTGCCAAGTTTTTATCGCTCGTTATTCACGTTGTTGGGATTCGCTTTTTGGCCAAGAGGAGGGAGCTGCGGCAAAATTATGCGCTTGATTAATATGCGAGTTCAATGTGAGTGGGCCACGCCCTCTTGTGAAGCGCCCCCCAAACGCATAACTGTTTATTTTGATAGTTTAATGTGTGTGCGAGTACGCGGCTGCTTATTTGCTTTCTGCCTGGTTGCTGTTGTTGTTATTGTTTGGCCAGCAAATACACACCAAAATGGCAAATTTGCGCATTGCCAAAGTCAACGAATTGTAAATGATTATAATTTTCTTTTATGTTTACGCAATTCGAGGGAATTTAAGTACGGCGAACGCAAAAGAGCAAATTGATCCACAATATTTCGGCCAAATATCAGGGGGCCGGGAAATCTGTTTCATTGGAAATCGGAGGCCAGCTCGAATTCGAAATTACCTCAATCCTTTCCCAGTCATTTCCGTGATTAATCATCTCATTCAGCCCACGACAAAGGAGCAAACACTCTTGGCATTTGACAAAATCGCAGCCCAAACAGATTTTCACTTTCGCTGGACGGAAAGCGAAGCAAACTGGATCCAAGCCAGCATATTCAGCCAGAGTTTGACCAAACAACAAAGCGGCCCAGCGATAATAAATTTTAAATCATTTGTCATTTGACGCATTTCGGTTAACAAGCAACTTCGACTTCGCCCCGACCCCTGAGAGCAAATACAGAGACAAAGGCAAAGACAATGGCTCGCCGGCCGATATCGATAAATATCATTTGTTTGCCTGGGACCCAAAACCCATAACCCAAAACCCAACAGCCAAAAGCCGAAGCCCGACCAGGCCAACAGCATCTTGGGTCAGTTTTTTGGGTCGGGCACGGATAGTTTCGGCTCTCGGTTCCCCCTTTTTTTTGGGCCCGCAATCTATTGACAAATGCCCTGGCCCGAGCTTTAATTGCCACAAGCTACTCTCTCCCTCCCGCTCTAATAGATTTTATCGGCTCTTATTCAATATACATAATTCTCGTGCGAGCTCGGAGGGAGAACAACAAAGTTTGGCTGATTAAATCGGGGAAGTCCAGTCGGAGTGCACTCGCGGTCCCCCGATTCCGGAATTTCATTCTGAGCAGCGAACTATAGTAACTGCAGATAGCAGCGTCTCCGATTGTTTTATACGATTTATTTTACAACCTCTCATTGTTTGTTGTTTGTGCTACGCCTTATTGCGCGGTAATCACAGAAGTATAACCGAATGGGAAACACTCGAAACGAAGATGTTTAAATACACAGGGCACCATAAACAATTTGGTGGCTCTTGCCTTAAAAGAGCCTCGTAAAATATCTTTGGGTTTCCTGAGAAAGTTAAATTTAACATTAACTGGCAGTCGAAGCACCACAATTTTCGCTGCGTACAGGAAGTGCGTGTCATATGTATGTGTCGGAGGGTCGTTTGTATTATCCATGTCGGAGGGTCGTTTGTATTATCCATCACTTTAACTAAAATTCTCAGCAGCAAGTTCCGTTCGATTGCCAGGCGCTTTCTGAACTGACTCCTTAGAGTCTACTTTCCAAATTTATACTTTCTACTCAATTCTTATACATTGTTAGCTATCTCTTTCTAACATGTATGTCAGCGCTTAACGAACAGACCTCACTTGGCAGCAGTCTAAATCTGTCCTGCTCTGCAATGCTTTCACTCAATTTCTAACTTCCTTTTTTAATTGTCCCTGCTTCACATTAAAGAAGGCCCCGCTTCACCTGTCCTGACCAAGAGAACAAAGTAGGCCCCGTTTCATCTGATCCGACATATGCAAATTCTTACACAAGTCAAAACAAACCAAGTTTTTTATATGTTTCGGCAGTTATTCCTGGCGAGACTCACCTGAAAAGAGAGAGAGAAAAGTTCAATTAGACAAAGACAAAATTGGTTGTTTCGTGCAGTCTTATTCTAGTCAAAGAAAAGATCTTTCCTATCCATCATCTAGTCTCCTTGGCCGGAATGCCTTCCTCTGGGGAAAGGCGATGAGGAGAGTTGGGCAACCGACAACTTCTGCTGGCCATAAACAGTTATTACGGCCGTCATGTTCGAGCCATATGCCAATTAATGTTTGCCTCACGCACCGAGGGGCAGGAAACCCGAGCCTAAGTTTGGCAACTAACTGCAGCCAGCCCGAATGCCACACAGGCGACAAATATGGCCAAAATGCCAGCAGACTTCTGCTGCAGGCTGCAGCTGGCTGCGGCAATAAAGGCCGCTTCCAAAGCGGTAATGGCTCATTACGCTGCCCGCTGATGAGGAGAGCCAAAACAGCGGATCCGGGTGGACCCGACTGCCCATATCGCGGCAATGAAATCGCGACTCAGCTCCCCCCGCCCGCTTTACTCACTTCTTAAACGCGCGCATGCGCAGCGGGGCAGAGGCGCTGCCGACTGGCAACTGCAACTGCAACTACAACTGGCAACTGCGTTTGCAACTGCGACTGCGCGGCCAACTGCATCGGAGATCGCTAGGCGATTGGCCCAAGACGACGACCACAAGTCGCTTGGCATTTGGCCAACAGCCTGGGCTTGCTGGCCTTAGCTGGCCAATAATATTTATTTATTTGGGCTTCAACCAAACACTAAGCAGCACAGTATTTACTTTCTGTACTTTACCTTTTTCAATTATGTACTTTAATAAAAATATTTCATATTATACAAATTTGAATAAATCTGATTTACTTGAACTAATTCATTCAAATGCTGTGGTTTGGATGATAACAAAGTAAACTGTAAAGGTAGACTGTATGTAATTAATTGCGAAGACAACGCAATTAAATGCCAAAGTATTATATTTTTAAGGCATTTTATTTATTGTATTATTGTTATTGTATTTTTTTACATGGTGACTAGTTCGGATTGTCGGACTTGAGTTTTATTGATTGCTTAATATATATGGGAATTATATTACATATAAACGTTTGTTAAAAAATCTTTTTCTGAGTATTTATTTATTTATTTAACACATAACAATATTGGTTAATTCTATTTATAAATAATATTAATGCTAATAGAAGTGTAGAAACCTGAAAGTTGTTGGCAATATTGAGATGCACAAGACTGTAATAAATGTTCATAAGTTTGTAGTTTCGGTTTCGACGTTGTGTTGCACACTGTGAGCGGGCAACCGCTTCACACTCGACTTGACCCTGCGTGGCCCGCTGGCCGATCTCCCAAGGCTTGTGGTTTCGAGCCCCTCTTCCCTCTCCCCCCAAGCAGTGGGTACCTTCTAATGTTGCTAATTTCCTAACAGAGATTTGATCCGAGCGATTGGCACTACCAATTTGAGTGGGCGGGGAAGAGGGGAAGGGGAAGGGGGAGGGGATGGGGAGAGGGGGTGATGTGGCAGCTGCGTGTGTTGGCGTTTCCTTCGAGGCAGCGGCTGCTTTTGGGTATCGTTGGGTAATTGGTATATCAATTGTTCGCCTCCATTGTTCGGC